TGGTATTTACTTTCTTACTCTAAACTGTAAAGTCTTCAAAACTCTTTGACTTGCATTATACTTATTTAAGTTCATCTCATATCAGTTTTACAGGATTTGCTTACCTCACAGGGACTCCGTAATATTAATCCCAACCCACGTTGAACTTTGAATGTAATAAATACAAGTAAATAAACTTAATGCCCTTAACAGTTGATTATGAAGTGTGTATCTCAATATTACATTATACCAAATTATAGTTTCAAACTGGTACTTTCTTCCTTAAGCAACTTATGTTAATATATCATTTATTAGGATTAAGAAAGTTTAATTTGTGAGGGACACTCATAACTCCAGCCAGCCATTTCCTTTAAGTCTTTTAGTTATTTAAAAATAGATCAACAACATACTGTGTATTATTACCTTTCACTGTCTTCTAGTTATTTATGAAATAATGAAGACTTTTCACTTTGTAAAGGTAGTGAGTACATAGGAAGAAAAATCATGACAAAATCCATTCATTCCTGTGAGGATTGAAGTTGGCCTTTGCTTTAGGAAAAATAAAATCAATTTTTATACAGGTTTGCTAAAAACATGTTTTCTCATTAAATCAGTAAGCCTTCCGAATAACATGGTTTCTGGAGAAAATTCAATTCCCCTTGAGTGGAAGATGTATGCTACAATCAACAATGTTCACATCAATAAATTTCTTATAAAAACTTTACTTTGCATGCTAAATCCCAAGTGATTGAAAACTTCATAATACACTTTAAAATTTTTGTCTTTTTCAAATCACTAAGTTCATACATATTTGTTGGTAATTTTTCTTTCCTTACTTTCTACCCTCAACCACACTCTTCAAAGCCAACCTCCGTCAACTGTCGATATGTGTCATTCAAACACCTCATTTATGCGTAGCAAAACCTAGACTCACGTATACACTAATGTGTACAAATATGCAAATATGCACTCAGGTATTATCTTAAACATTCATTTTTAAATTGGGAGAATAGTTGGCATGTCTAGGTATAATACAAATGGTAGTTATTTTGAGTAATTAGCCCCAAACAATTTATACACAGGTTTTGTTTTCTTCGTTATGTATGAAGCAATTTAAGAGAATCAGGGAAGGTAAAAGTGGCAGAACCAGTTGTGAAGGATAGACCAAAATTTCACTAACAGATTCCTAAACGTTTTGTGGTCCCTAAACTCTCACTGACTTGTAGAACTGCACTTGATATATTTATGACCTTCTTATGCAGCAGAATAGAATCTATTCCAAGGAGAGATTACAGCGTGTGTTATATATGAGCCACAGGGAATTCTGGCCTTCAGCGCGATCCATTATGGCTGAATTTATTGCAGGCTAAGCTCTATCCATGCTGCTCACAGTTGCAAGGGAGCTAGAGTTGAGAATGACAAGAGTCCCAAGTGACCTGCTTACGTCTAATTTATGGGCCCTTCACAGGACCAAGTAGGGTCTTGGTGCGCAGTTCACTTGGTTCCCTCCTTACAGAGATTGTGACCTCTTTGTCCATTGCTAGCACTCGATATAGTGTTAGAAGCTGAGAGGAAATGGTTTTGTGAGTCTCTTTTGTAATATTCAGAAGATAAATAACTTTAGAAGAATGTAATTCGCCCAGGTATCTTCTGAGCAGTGCCAAGTGCAAATACATTACAAGTGTTTGGTTTGGGTGTCTTTGTGGCCTTTCCCCCCTCCTGTTGTTACAATTGAAATATGCAGGATTTCTTTAAAAATTTGTTAAAGAAAAAACTTTAAAACTGATAGTAAAAATGGAGGGGCCTAATCTTTTTAAGTGATCTTTTTGCCTGGAGGTTCCTTATTTTCAGTAATGGGCTTGCTTACATAAGATGCCCCCTTCTATTCTGCACTGCTTTGGATTAATACAAAGCCACTACTTATATTGAAAAAAAAAATGCTTTCAGATATTTTTTGAAAATATTTTTATTTATTTCTAGGAGAGAGAGAGAGAGACAGCGTGAGCAGAGGAGGGTCAGAGAGAGAGGGAGATACAGACTCTGAAATAGGCTCCAGGCTCTGAGCTGGCAGTCAGCACAGAGCCCGACACGGAGCTCGAACCCACGAACCACGAGATCATGACCTAAGCGAAAGTCGGATGCTTAACCGACTAAGCCACCCAGGCGCCCCTCTGATATTTTTTATTCATTGTTCTTATTTCTGCTGTCTTAGACAACAATGAATAAGCTTATAGATCTTTTCAAAAAAACCACTTAGATGTGGGGTGCATCTTGAGTGTTTTAGACTAATTATCCTCAGATTTTATCACACATTCTCAAGGTATTCAGACTTTGCTTCCTATTTGCCCATAAAATTGTGCTAACTGGAGTCCACCCATCTCTGCGTCTGATATTATTAAAGAATATGAAGTTTGTACTAATGCTACAGTAGTCCATTTACAGTGTTGGTGCGCAAACTCATCTCTCACTCGTAAGGTTTTAGAATTATATTTTCACATTAATGTGTGCAGCCATTTATTATACTTGGTTAATACCAATAAGGTGATTTAAATTTATTATAATAAAAATATATCATTGTATAACTTATTATTCTAACTTACCAAAATGATTTTAGGTGGTGTCTTTTGTCATCAAATGTATGCTATATCCTTCTGAGCTTTGTGGCATTCACACATTTTTTACACATGACCTTAATGCCTTCATTTATGTCAGTAATTAAAAGTGAAATGAAGTATGTACTAGAACACAGAGCTCCAGGGGACGTCACCAGATACCTTAGTGCGTGTGTTCATGATTCTTCAATTCATTCCTTCCAGGTACATTTATTCAGCCAGGTACAAACACATTAAAATGCCTTTTTTCCTTACTACCTGTAAAAATATCTTGAGAGTAGACAATGTTTCCTTCAATTTAGATATGATTTCTACAGTATTCTTCTCATTCAGCAATGTGGCATGTGGCATCTTTCGTGAACCTGTCCTCACTTCTAGTAAGCGTTGCTGTATCTTTAAATTGGTTTCCATCCAAATATTTGATCATTTACTTCATAATCCAAAATCATAGTCTGTATTTTAAAAATTCCATGTCTTTAGCTTTCTTGGGTATTTAATTGTTTTATAATTAAAAAAATACATCTGCTAGGTGTGCCTTGCACAGGGTAACCTCATGTGATACTCAGAGTGCTACCATATCGGTCTTCAATTGAATTTCTATTTTCAGAAATGAGCAATCACAGCATAGTGGTTTGCACCAAGTGTACGGTTAGCAGGCTGCTGTTAGGGGCTGGAAGCCATGTAGTGTAGCAATTATCTAGTGCCGGCATGGTGCAGGTTGTTGGACAGAGAGCTTCAGTCATGCAGCACGATGCACCAGGCTTGACAGAACTTCCAGCCCAGTGAAGGGGTAAAGACTGAAATAAGCATATAAAATATGTAATATGCCAAGTGGTGGGTGAGAAATGCAATACAGGAAATAAATAGCGAGGGGAGAAGTTGAGAGGAGAGAGCAGGCTGGAGGCCTCGTCTTTCACGTGGCTTGTCAGAATACGTCATTCTGATAAAATGGTATATTTTGTGGGAAAGCTTTGTAGGCTCAAAAGAGGTTTGAGAATCACAAAGAAATATTTTGTAGTGTTAAACGCTTTGACTCGAAGGTCAAAGAGATGTAGGTTTTCATCCCAGTTCTGAAAGGTCTTAACCATGTGACCTGAGTAAGTAAGTGTCTTTTGGATGACACTTTGCCCCTTCAGGAATTTATCATTAAAAATAGGGGCAAGTTGGCACATATTATGTATAGAATATTTATTGAAGTATGGTTTGCAGTGGTGAAAGTAGACCGCATAGAGCATCTTGTTACAAGTTTCTACTAAGACAAATCATGCTATCGACTCATGTGGAATACCGTGAAATCACATAGTACAGCGCCACTTCCAGATACCAAATCACTGTAGTAAATCTGTACTTACAAACGTGGGATGCTATTCACTGTGCGTGTGTGTGTGTGTGTGTGTGTGTGTGTAACAAGTATATATTTGGAGAGAGAAAGATTAGCAAAATAAGCATTTAAATTTAAATGTATAGAACGAGGAGCACCCGGGTGCCTCAGTCAGTTAAGCATCGACTTTGCCTCAGGTCATGATTCGTGGTGCATGGGTTCAGGCCCCACATCGGGCTCTGTGCTGACAGCTCAGAGCCTGGAGCCTACTTTGGATTGTGTGTGTGTGTGTGTGTGTGTGTGTGTGCACCCCCACTCAACTCAGGCTCGCTCTCTCTCTCTCTCTTAAAAATAAATAAATAAAGGTATAGAATGGGTACATTTAGTTGCTTAGATTGTGAGTAGATTCTCTTCTTTTGATTATATTTTAATTTTATCATAAATGAACATATAATATTTTAGCAAAAGTGTAAGTGAGCACAAACATTACACAACCCCCTTCCCTTGAGGGTTGTTATGATGAACACTTTTTTTTTTTAATAAATTACAAGTTCATATAATGTATATTTTAACTTTGGGACAGAATTTGTTTTACCCTCTCCGTCATGTGATTGTTCTCTCCCCTAGTCCTCTGATGGGGAACATGCTTCCCCAGGTCCTATATTTTAAGACACAAAATGGAGCAGTGAAATAATCACAGTTGTCTTCCCTTGTCCTTAAAATAGGCCACAAAGGGATTATTTTTCATTGATTATTTTTATTATAAAATAAAGACACAAAGAAAGTTTTATGAAACAGGGCTGCCAGGGGGGCTCCATCTGTTAAGCGTCAGACTTCAGCTCCGGTCATGATCTTACATGAGAGTTCAAGCCCCATGTCAGGTTTCTGCTCACAGCACAGAGCCTGGAGCCTGTTTCGGATCCTCTGTGCCAACCCCACCCTCTGCCCCTCCCCCTCTCATGCTCTACCTCCCTTTCTCACAAAAATAAACATTACAAAAATCAATGAAGCAAATGTGCTCTGACCATAATGAGGAGCTTCCGTTTCAACTGCTTTTCTTAAAAAAGGATGCAATTTCTGCGTTGCAGCCGCCGATGAACATACACTCGATCGTGGTGCAAGTGCAGTGCATCAACAAGAAGGTGGGCACCGTCATCTACCACGAAGTCCGCATCGTGGTGAGGGACCGCAACGACAACTCCCCCACGTTCAAGCACGACAGCTACTACGCCACGGTGAATGAGGTCAGTTCCCGCTGTGCGTGTAACTCGCCATGTCTCTGCATGTGTGCAAATGGTGCTCCTGCGGGAGGCCCAACTGCTCCAAGTGTCCAGGGAAGAGCACTTGAAGCAATAGTACTGTGGAGAAAGTAAGATCGGGGGGACTCTGGTGAGATTTCAGGAATTGATTTTGCTGCAGGAAAAGTTTTGATTTGCTTGCAATCAAACTACTGGTATTTTGGGATCATCTTGGACAATTTAATGCCAGACACCATGTATATGCTTACTAAGGGTTAACAGGAGCTATTGATTCTTGTTGGACTAATGGTTTTCTCTGAGGTGGGCGCAGGACTTAAATAGTAGAAGACCGTATCTATTCAAGATCCTTGTACCTTAAAGTTATTTCCTTAATTTTAAAATCAACTTCTGGCATATTCAAATATTTAAATATAAATCATTGCTCAATTCTTAGGCTGATTAAATAATTTTTAACAATTTTAAGTATTTCTCCTTTTATTACAACATGATTTTTTGGTTGTTTATTTCACTTTTTTTGTTTTCCCTTGGAGCCAAAATCCATGGGCCAAGAAGCCTTTTTATGGTTTTTTGTTTTTTTTTTTTTTGTTTTTTTTTTTTTTTTACAAAAACAATGGTTACTCTGTTAATTTTTTTGTTACTCCAGTAACAAATATTTAGAAAACATTTCTAAAGTATTTAATATCAGTTATTATACAGACTTTAGACATATAAAAAATGAACAGCATTTTTAAAACAATTTTTTAACTTTTATTTATTTTAGGGAGAATGAGAGAGACAGAGGCACAAGCAGGGGAGGGACAGGTAGAGGGAGCCACAGAATCCAAAGACAGGCCACAGGTTCTGAACTGTCAGCACAGAGCCTGACATGGGGCTCTAACACACGAACCATGAGATCATGACCTGAGCCGAAGTCAGTTGCTTATCTGACTGAGTCACCCAGGTGCACCTGAACCGCCGTTTTAATAGTCTATATTTTAATACATTATTTTTACTTTCCAGATTTTGTGTTAACTCCAAAAGCTATGCACCAACTTTACAGGAGGAAATGTGTAATTTGGGCATTAAACACAGAAGTGGGCCTGTAACCTCTACATGTTTGTTTTCTGAAATTGTTTAAAATGTTTTGTAATTATCTTAATATTCCTCTCTTCATTAAAAAAATGAGGAAATTATGCTTCTTATAACGTGAGACTTTGTAGATTGAATTAGTAAAAAACAAAGAAGCCATAAACTACCCTTTTAAGGTTAATGGGACGAGCTTGCTGGTCAGTGTTAACATTTTTTTTTATTTAACTGGTTCTTACTAAAACAGACAGATGCTAATTAATGTAATTATCCGTTTTATGTGACTAATTATTTTTGCATGTGAAGTACATCTTTGAATGAGATTTAGCTTTGTTTGAGTGCTGACTTCATTTGTGAATAAACTGGTATCAGATGGATTATCTCAGGCAGCAGATCTAATCGCAAAATCCACTCTGGAATCATATTTAACTGTTCCTGGAGCTGCTGCTTTGGTTCATTTCTTGTGAAGAAATTTGCAATGTTCAGCTTGCATTTCAGTGTGCCCTGTGTGATTTGACTGCTTCCCGTTCCCCTCAAGTCTGCTCGGCACCTTGCTGAAAAATAACCTTTTCAAGTACTATTTTAAACTTAACCACTACTCTATTCAAAAATTGCATTAAGATTTCTCATTATTTTCTGGGCAAACGTTATCTGTCTCCACCGGCTGACTTTCAAGACCTTCCATAATCTGACCTGCCTTCCGTGTGTTCTTAGCATTAGCTTGTGAATGCATCACAGTCCAGGTTAATTTCTGCACGACTCACAAACTCCTTTTCTAGGGCTTTGCCCACATTGTTCATTGTACTTCAAACAGGATCCTCCAATTTTTATTATTTTTTTATCTTTTAAAAAATTTTATTATTATCTTTTAAGGTTTAACTCAAGCTATTACCATTTCCTCTTTCTATGGTCGTCCCTGAATGCTCCAGTACACCCCTGTGCTGTCTCCCTGGACTCTAAACTTATAGGCATCTGGATAAACATCTGTTGGAATGATAATTTATAGAAAAGTTAAACCTTTCTCTTTTTAAAAAATTTTTTAAGTTTATCTATTTTTGAGAGACACGGCAAGAGTGTGAGGAGGGGAGGGGCAGAGAGAGAGGGAGAGAGAGACTCCCAAGCATGCTCCGCACTGTCAACACAAAGCCCGTTGTGCGGCTCGATCTCACATCCATGAGATCATGACATAAGCAGAAACCAAGAGTTGGACATTTGGCCAGCTAAGCCACCCAGGCTCTCCAAAAAGTTAAACCGTTTATCTTAAATGTCATTTGGAGAAGCACAGGTTTCTTTGCTAAACTGTCCTCTCTGTTCTGCTGACACATTTCGCAAAAGTCTGCTGAGGCAATCCCACCGCTGCTATACTTTGCCCTTACTTTCCGTGGTTCGATTCTGAGGACATGTGTACCTGTTGGCCATGGTACCCCTTCCTTATTTTCTTGGAAAGAACCATAAGTTTCTTTAAACCACAAAACATAATCATAAGAAAAAAATGAAATTTAGCTGTTTTTTCCATCCTTCATTTATTTGAGTAGATCTTCTATAATTTTTAGTATAATTTGCTTAGATATACACATACACATGGTGCAATTATATGTACATGTATGTACATATGTGTAGGTATGTATTTATGTGTGTATATATGTTCGCTTATTTATATCACATAAATCTCTGATAGTGTGCTGCAACTACAATGCTGCCTGCAAAATTAAATTGTATTACATTAAATAGATTTTACTATGTGTGAGACATTCAGAAATTTTCCATGTGATTCCTCCTTTTAGTGCAAGACATACAGTGAATGCGGTAAAGACTAGGGGGATCGAATTGTTTCTCAAAAAAATTAAAAATCCTTCACAGTTTAATAGATTGTTGATGTCAAAATATTTTACACTTCATTAAAATCCAAAAGACAGGTATAAAGTCATTATCACAGATTCATGAAAGAAGTTTCCAGAATTAAAATCCCCATGACTCACTCTCCTTATTGGCCATGAGAACACAGATGTCTGTTCCAAGAATTGGCCGGGTTACATGGTGAACTGGTCACAGCCTTGGGAGTAGAACCCAAGTTCTTGGTTCAGTCATTTCTTCACTACTTATTAATGGATATCCTGTATCCTAACGTATCACCACATTCATGTAACTGATGTGAAAAAGAAATATCAGGGACTATACTTATGGTATTATATCATAATATTATAATCACAATGCATTAAATGTCAGTCTTTTTTACTCTTTGTAAACATATTCTTTGTACCAAGAATTTACCAAAATATTAATGCCTATATCTAAATACCAATCAAGAACTGTAACAAGTTTATAATTCCTTGTTTGTGAGAGGACATCAGACACTGCAAGTATTTTTCTCTCTCTGAGTAATTGGAGACTCTCACTTAATTTTGGGCAATTGTATCATTAAGTAATTAGCCTAGTTGGTTTGAAGAAGAGATTACACAGTCTAATTGTTGCTGATTGTCCTTAAGCAATTTTTGAGGATAAATATTTTCTGGCGTGATGTCTTTAATAACGCGTGCATCTCATCCTCAAAAATTTCTTTTGACATTAAAAGCAAAGAAGGGCAAGTCAAGGCAGACATTTGAGCATGCGGAGAATTAATCTCCAAATTATATAGAGATTATATTTGTCATGATCTTTAATGATCTCTTCACAGAAGGTGCACTTTTTAAATCAATATTAATTTGTTCTTTCCATCACCTTAAATATCATCTTAAATGTACTTTGCTGCTCTGACATAATGTGTGTTATTAGACATAATTTGTTGGCAGTTTCTGGAAGAATGTCTCCTTGTGTATCTCTTGATGGGTAGATGGTTTATGGTCTCTTGAAGGAGGGAAGGTAGGAAGAGAGGGAAGGTGGGAGAGAAGGGATTTAAATTTTGAGTTATTTTAAGCCTGTGACCTCCAGTTCAGAGACTTTGCAGATTTCCAGTGAGATAGCTTAGATTTCCTTTTACTTTGCCCTGAACATGAACTTCTCACAAGATGTTTTATAATTCATAATAGATTAAAAGTAGTATGTGATTTTGTAGCATTATATAGGATGCTTTATTGTACTGATATTTTCTATCCGTTTATTCAAACTGAGACTGATTATAATCTTACAGTCTCGAAAGGGAAAGGAGCCAGTTCACGTGTTACCTATGTTTTCTAGAATATGTGTCTTTCTTCATACTTCACTATCCTATGTGTTGTTGACATTAATTTTGCTTTACTATTTTATCATTTCATTTCATTTAGTTAGACTGTTTACTTAGGTTCAGATGTCAATAACCAAAGTGTTAGATTCTAAAAGTGACAATAAGAAACAAAATGTATCCTCTTTATTATATTCTTACCATATTTAGTGTAATGATTTAATCCTACATTCGTTCCTTAAAACATTTTTACTACTGAGTCTTTTATGGTTTCTTAAATAATTTGCTTAAACAGTTACAGGAAATAATTGTTTTATTCCATTTCTATTCCACTAAATACCTTAGGGCTAGGGATCTCACTTTTAATAAATTTAAAACTGACATCTTTTCTGCACATATTACTTTTAAAATCTAAAAGTTATGTATGTGATAAAATCGCCTTGCATTGGGACAACAGGCATTGAGTCGGAGCTCTAGAGCCATGGGTGATTTTTCAAAATTCATGATTTCTCGTGTTCATAATGAGGTGGTATTTTGCCTGCAGTATGTACAAATTCCTAAGAGTGGTGTTTTAATGTAAAATATTCTCTTAAAGTGGAGATTTCAAAGTGAAAGGTCTACTTCATTGTTTTTGATCAATGATAAATGATACAAGGGCAGCCTTTTGAGAAAAGTACAGTTTATAGGTAAAATTTGCCCTGCCACTGCATGCTTCTACACGGCCCATGTGATTTCAGTGTACATAAGTAAGATTTTATCACAA